ATGGACCAGGATGCTGCTCAGCGAGGTCACTGGTGAGCTGACTGCAGACTGTGGGACGTTACTAAGGGCATCTCTTGCACCCAGGAGTCCTTTCCCTGTTCTCCGTGGCCTTCTGCTTGTCACTGTGTGTAGAGAGGCCATCTCAGGGCCGCCGTCTCAGCGTCCGAGTGTCTCTGTGGAGGGGGATCAAGCCTCCCGCCCCCTGCTGGGTTGGACATCAAGACCCACAGAGCCAGGCAACATCGGTGGTGTGAGAGGTTTATGTTGTCTGTTGCCAAAACACGTAGTGCCCATGAGTGCCTCCTCCTTCCCTTAGTGGGTGTTCTGGTCTCTCCTTCAGCCTCTTCCTTCCATCTCTAGATATTGCTGTAGATGAATTTTCCTCAAGCCCAATTCTGTGCTTGTGAGACCTCTTCCCAGAGCCTTTCCGATCTTATCCATCGCCCAGAATCCCTTGGGAATAGAAAGGTCTTTCATTTGTCCTCTCTGCCTGTGTAATGCAGTTTGTCATTACTGTGACAAAGTGCCTGAGGAAGTTAACTTTATAAAGAGAAGAGGTTTATTTAGCTCACAGTTGTGGAGGTTTGATGTCCCCCAGCCTGCAGCAGCCTTCCCCAAGTCTGTCCCCAAGGATGCTGTCCCCTCCTCAGGGTTTATGTCTCTCTCCCTGCAAAAACTATTTCTGGACCTCCCAGTGAGCTACAGTCTTGCTCTCTTCTCTCTTTGGACCTCTCTGATGAGGCAGCATGCTGGGCTTGTATTGTGATCACTTGTAAGGAGGTGCAGTGTGTGAGCCACAGTAATGGCTCGGGGTCACCTGTGTCACACACGGGGCATCGGTAGTGTTTGGTCAACACTTGGCACGTGAATTCCAACACTTCTCCTCAAGGAGAGCTTGGCTCCATGGCTTCCTCTTTCTTTTGGAGGGATTAAAATTTCTAATAAAATTTGGCAATGACTTTGTCACCAGAATGAACTGTTCTGGAATGTGAGACACCATTTAACTATTACTTCTTTACATCTTGAGTTCTTCGCATTTAAATTTTCTATGACTGTACCTCATTGGATATTCTATTACAAAAAAGCAGCTTTATTAAATTAATGACCCTTTGGGCTGGGGATTTAGCTCAGTGGTTCTGGCACCTGCCTTGCAAGCACAAGGTCCCGAGTTCAATCTCTGGTACCAAAAAAAAAAAAGATTAATGACCCCTTAAAAAATACGTGCAGGCTGGGTGTGATGATACATGCCTATAATCTCAGCACTTGGAAGGCTGAGGCAGGAGGATTGCATGAGTTCCAGGCCAGTATGGGCTACATAGTGAGTTCGAGGCCAGCCTGGACTACATAGAGACCCTGTCTCCAAAAAAAAAAAAATTCAGTGAATTTAACTGAAAAAAAATTAAAGTATATTATTGTATTTCCTTGCCCCCAAAAAAGATAGATTCAAGCATTCTTTTTTTAAAGTAGATGCTATAGATTTATAAGTATTGACTATAGTGTTAGATGGTACCATGAATGAGTGAGGAGCTAAGAAACTAAGATAATTTAATAATTTTATTATGAAGATTAAACTTTTTTGTTATTATTTTATCTAAAGAGATTGATCCCAATCTAGAAGTGGCCAAAAGAGCACAGTAGCTACTGGGAGTGGAGAATCTTACACAGACCACGTAAGTGTTGTGGGGGAATTATGTTTACTTTTGGAAGGTAGACATATTATAATTATTGCCTTAATCTATATTAAAAGATCAATTCTTTGGGAAAATCTGTAATTTTTGCTCTCTCTTCATATTCATTTACTTTTTCTATAGGCAAAAAGTCAGTATGTAATAATAACAAATAAAATGGTATTTCTGTACATGAGAGTGATCAAAATATACAGTGAATATTAAAATTTTTAAAAATTATTATAGTAAGAGACATTACCATTAGACTCCCTCAGAATCCTCCCCCTCACTTCTAACACACTTACATCAAGTCCAGTTACTGGCCTGGCACCCAAGGCCCTTCACGTCTCCCCGTCCCAGGGAGCTGGCAGGTGGCTGTGCCCAGCAGACCCCCCACTCTGCTCCGTGCCCTCTCCGTGCCCAGCTCTCCACCCTCCCCTCTCTGAGGAACTTGCTCAGCCAGAGCCAGGTCAGCAATGAATTCTGATCATTTGCATGATTAGCACTTGTCACACTATGTCCTGATCCTCAATAGGCAGTGATGTACGGAAACAAACAGAGTGATCGGAAAAGATGAATGTTTAAAAGTTTTAAATGTATTACAGTGAAAGAAACATCCCTACGAGTCCCTTTCAGAATACTCCACTCACTTCCAACACACTCATCCCATGTTGGTGCCACTTTCTGCAGCAGCTCTGGAGCCCTCTTTCCTGAGGGTCTTTAATTGTGCTGTCGTGGCTGCCTCGATGTTCAGAACAGACTCAGAATGTTTCCCTTTCTGGTCCTTTTGACTTTGAGGCAGAACCAGAAGCCGCACGGTGCCAGATCTGGTGAATACAGTGCATGAGGACACAGCGTCACTTTTTTAGGAGCTGCCTTTGCACTGGATGACAGTGGGAGGCGGCAGTCACAGTATTTCGATCACACCTCATACAGAAAGGCACTGGGGAAAGAGGACTCCCAGGGCTGCTGCAGAAAGTGACAAGAATCATCGTGGGATGAGTGTGTTGGAAGTGAGTGGAGTATTTTGAAGGGGACTCGTAGGGATGTTTCTTTCACTGTAATACATTTAAAACTTTTAAACATTCATCTTTTCCGATCACTCTGTTTGTTTCCGTACATCACTGCCTATTGAGGACCAGGACATAGTGTGACAAGTGCTAATCATGCAAATGATCAGAATTTATTGCTGACCTGGCTCTGGCTGAGCAAGTTCCTCAGAGAGGGGAGGGTGGAGACCTGGGCATGGAGAGGGCACGGAGCAGAGTGGGGGGTCTGCTGGGCACAGCCACCTGCCAGCTCCCCAGGACGGGGAGCCGTGAAGGGCCTTGGGTGCCAGGCCAGTAACTGGACTTGATGTGCATGCTTTCGGGAGCCACTAGGGATTTCCAGGGGGGGACGTCAGTGGCTGCGCCTGTGGGGCTAGGTGTGGTGGGGAGGGTGGGAGCACAGAGGTGAGCAGGGTGGGACAGGGAGGTGTCCCCAGGTGGATGAGATGTGTGACTGACTGGCTGGCTGATGGGAGCAGCGCGGAGGGGGCCTTCTTGTGAGCCTGGGAAGGCAGGAAGGGAGGCGATCCAGAGAGCACAGGTGAGCTGGGCAGGACAGGAGCCACGGCCCATGGTGAGGGCCCCGTGGGCCACCTGGGGAGCCGCGGAGTTAGTGGAAGTGAGTGAGGAAATGCGGTCACACACAGCGCCCGGTACGATGTTGCCAGTGAGGGGCGGGAGCGGTGTTAGCTTAGAGAGGAAGCGCGTCTGAAAAATACGCATTTCTGGTGCAGAAGAAATATCAAGAAAGTGCAGAAAGTACAAAAAGGTATGTTTTTTTTAAAAGAAAGAAATCAGCTGTCACCCTCCCGGCAGAGACAACCGCTGTTCACGTTTTGTTCTTTTCTTCGCTTTATTATTTCTGCCTGAGTCCTTGCATGGATGATTTTGCACGTCAAAGTCTGTTTTGCTTTTTCTGTTTATTGTTGTAAGTGGAGGAGACTGGCGTGTAGGAAGCAGGGAGGAATACAGCTGGGGCAGTTTAGGGAGGGGCTGCCTGTGATGAGAAATCGACAGGAGCAGATCCAGCGGGTTTAGGGTTCAGATTGGAGGGGAGGGGCTTAGAGACGTGGAGCCCTGGTGAGGATCCCAGAGTCCAGTCTACGCAAGGCGGATCTGGTCGCAGCGAGCTCTTCCTTCCCCCTCTCCCTGTCTCTGTAAATCTCAGTACAGCAACGGAAAACAGAACAGAAGTAAATCCAAAGCGATGACATCTGGCTGCTTTGCAATCTTGCAAAAATCAACTGTGCCTTCATTTCATTCCATTTCATTCCAGTGAATTCTCCTTGCTATTTGGCACTGATAGGTTGGGTTGGGATATTTTTGGTTGAAAATGGCAGAAGCCCAGCTTAAACTGCTTTAAACAAACAAACAAAAAGGAATTTATTGCCGCGTGTTGTGGAAAAGCTCTAGGGGTTTGTCTCTGGTCACAGCTGGACCTGGCTGGCCAAGTGACAGGAAAAACTCTCTTGGTCTCCGCTGTCCTGTGTTTGGCTTCATGCTTAGGTGGCTGTCCCCAAGCGGGGATGGCTGGCCAGCTTGTATCTTATCAGCCCAGTGGTTCCTCTGGAACAGTAGCTTCTCGTCCTCGCAGTTCCTCTAGAAGTCGAAGGGCCAGGCTCTCAGTGCCAGGTGGGCCTGGGGTTGGGGCAGGTGTTTTCTGGGAATCAAGTCCTGGGCCAGTGGGATGAAGGATTCTGATTGGCCAGCCCCAGGTCATGTGCCTTGTGCTGGAGCCAATCCAAGTCCTTAGCCCTCTCTTCCCTATTGGGCAAAGCAGGGGAAACTGGTGGTTCCCCTAGAAAAATTGGGGTGCTGCCGCCAGAAAAGGGAGACAATTGTCACTGGGCAGCCAGAAACAAAGCTTGTTCTCTGTGTCCTGCATTTGTCATTGTTAAAACACTTCTCGGGGTTTAAGCAGTATTTGTAAGAATATTAAGACTACGTTTCAGATAAAAAGGTCTTTGATAAGTTGACTCAAATTTAATGTTTGCTGTTGAAAATAAAAGAAACATCACAGCCTCTTGATTTAAACAAGATCATTCAAGCATTGCCTCCACTTAAAGCTTATAAAGTAACATTTCATTAAGATTCCTTTCTTGACAAAGCTGTTTTGTTGTTGCAGAAGGAGCAACTCTAGAGAAAAATGGCTCAGAGTGAACCAACATAACACACACCGACAATCTGTCTTTTTAAAACTTGAAATCAGGAATCTGTCATTTCTGTTCCCGTGGAGTCCTTTGTGAATTTCCCACACCTACACCTCATGCACCCGAGTAAGTCCCTGAGCCCCTCGGAGTCAGGAACCTGCGCCTGCCTCTCCTGCCCAGTGCAGTGCAGGCCGCCGAGTTTTGGATAAGGAGTGGACCCTGATCTCAGCCGCTCCCCCGTTTACCGGCCAGGTGACACTGGGTCCTGATGGACAGCACCCCGCAGGACCCTCGTCTCCACTCTTCCGACGCTAGCTGGCCCTTACCAAGGGCCGTGCTGTGCACTGGGTTTTGGGATTTCTGTGCGTTACCTCATCCGTCCCCATGACAGTCTGATGGAGAGAAAGGCGGTGTTCGTGTTACTGACCAGGCTTTGGGGCCCAGAGAGGCTCACAGATACAGCACCTGGGGTGTCCGGGGTAACGCCTGGCATCGTGCTGTGGCCTTGCTAGACAAAGAGGACACAGCGGCCGAGGGCCTGGCTGTGGCTGATGCCGAACCATCCCCCTGGTAGCCACGGGTAGCTCAGGAGAAGGGGCTTCTCAGAACCTTGGGAAGGAAGCTGTCCCCCAGGGGTGGCATTTTCCAGCATGACATGTCAGAGGTGGGGTGTTCAGGACAGCGCAGTGGGGCCGTTACCAGAGTGGCACGGGAACATTTAAAACCCAAAGTACAAATAAAAGTATAGATAAATTAAAGACAAAGTATATAGAAGATACAGGAGATGGGTCTTTTGCAAATGGGAAGGGGACTGAGAGACAGGGGAGCGGGGAACGGGGGAAGGGGGAAGGGGATGTGGAAAGAATGAGCATGTGCTGTGCACCTGTGCCAGCGCCCCACGATGACTGTAATCGTTACGAACTACAAACATCCACTAAGAAAAATTTAAAAATTAAAAAAGTATGATGGATATGCTAACTACCCTGATTTGATGATATGCATTATATACACGTCCTGAAGGGTCACACCGTGTCCTGTGAGTGCGTATCAGTTATTATGTATTAGTTTAAAAAATAAATTAAAAATGTAAGGTCTTCTGTAAAAGTAAAAAAAATGGTTGTTAGAACGAACGGAGGAAGTCAGCAAAACGACGTAAGGGGGAGAGGCTGGCCAGGTGGTTTCCGTGGATTTTAAAATTGGCCAAGGCAATGATGGTTAGAAGGGAAAAACGGGGGCCGGCGCAGCGGTGTTAGTGCTTCGATGTTTTGCCGACAGAGTCGCGAGGGCGGGTCGGCCTCTGTGCGCGTGCGTGTGCGTGCGCATGCGTCCCTGTTGGGAGTCACCGGCTCGCGCTGGCTCATGTTCCTGAGGTTTTAGGAAAAGTGGTGCCGTTGGGGAAAGTCGAGGTTTCTCGAGGGAGCTGGAGAGAGACCCTGCCCTGCGACCTGCGAGGACCGAGTAAGGACGGTGTCTGGGCCAGGCAGGGTGGAGAGCGCGGTCCCCACCTCCTCCGACCACGAGAAGCGGGAGAGGAAGCATCCCTGGACGAGCCTGACCCTCTCGTTTCCCGGAAGTGTGTTCCTGAGGAAAGAAGGGACTCCTCCAAGGAGGGCGCTGGGGAGAACACCGTTGGGAGGCCTTGCAATTGTGAACGAGGGAAACTGGCGAAGCGTGGGCCGGGCGTGAACTCAGAAGTGGTGCGCGATTGTTAGGCACAGCCGCCCTCCGAAGCAGGAGGTACCGTAAAAACCGTATACAGAAGAGGAAACTCGGTGTTTTCATCTGGAGATGCAGAGCGAGAGGGAAGCAGGTACTGTCCGTTCATAGCCTGTTGTAGAAGATCGTCAAAGTGATAACAGAAGTCCATCCCTGGCGCTCCGAGCGTGGGCCCCGAGGCTCCCCTGCAAATCTGCACAGCCGATAAACCAAAGTAAGCTCACCGTCGTGAGTGGCACCGCAGATATGGAAAAAGCAAAGGCCACAGGCTGTGGTTCTGCTTCCTGGGTCAGCTCTAGTAAGACCAGCTTTCTATTTAGAACGTCTTTCTTGGTGGATGAGTCAAGAACACATCCGTCCTTGCCGCATAACTGTGGTGTGGGAGTCAGGGAAACGAGAGCGTCCCCAACTTTCAGGCAAATTTGGCCAAGACGGGTTAGAAAATGCTAGCTGGGGTGGCCGGCTGCTGTCTGCTCGGTCATTTGTATTCGCCCTTGGACATGGCCAGGTTCCATTTTTTTCTTAACCTTTAAAACCTTTAGGCCACTTGGGAGAGCTGTTTTAAACAACCCAGAAGCCAAGCAAATATAACGATGAAAAACTTTTGATTACCATGTATGATAGGGGAAGAAAAAGGTTATTTATATTACATATATGAACATTGAATAAGATTTCTTTTAGTGAAAACAGTATTTATTTATTGTTTGTTGTTTGGTTTTTTGAAACAGAGTCTCACTATAGTTCAAGCTGACCTTGAACCCACTGTGTAGCTGAGGCTGGCCTTGAACTCCTGGCGCTCTTCCTGCCTCAGCCTCCTGAGTGTTGGGATTACAGGTGTGCACCACCACACTCCACTCAGTTGATGGTTTACACATGATTCACTCTTGCAGGGTAAAGTATTACTTAGTGCCATCTACTTTACATGCCAGGAAGAGAAAATGGAAAGAAAAAGAAAAACATACAGCTGACCAAGGCCAGCCACTGGGACTATAGAGATGACAGTGGGACAGTGTGGGGCCCCTGCCAGTTCCACCCTGGCCTCCTTGCTGTGAACTTGCTAAACCCAGCGCAGTGCTCCTGGTACCCTTCTCAGATCCCATATCCATATTGATCCAGAGTCTCTGGGAAATTAAGTGCCTTTCTGCTTCACAGCAGGCTCACACACGCTTCCTAAGTGAACCAGAAAGGTTGATTTCTCCCTCAGCACAGATGCGTGCAGAGGGAAGGCGGGGACCCCACAGTGGGGTGCCCTGGCGCCGTCCAAGGTTGCTCCTTGGGGAAGGTGGGCTTTCTTCTGCCCATCATTTTTTTAGCAGCATATTTTGTGCATGACTAAAGCCAGATACAGTGGACCCTTGACTTACGATCTCAATTTGTTCGCGAGGGCTGGTTGTAACTCAGGTTGGTCAGTGAAGGCTCGGGCTCCCCTATGCAGCCTTCAGAGTCTCCTGTACACAGGCAGATCTCAGTGTCCTTAGGGAGACACTGGCCCAGGATCTCTCAACCCCACACAGGAAAGGATGCTGTCATGTTCCTTCCAGAACTCTTTAAGGGTTAAATCTGTATCTGAGACCATCTGGAAGCACAAGTGGCCAGCATTCAGGTCGTAACTCAAGACTTTGGTCATAAAACTAAAATTCTAGTCGGAACCCAAGTGGTTTGGATGTCAGGCCAGTTGTAACTGGAGGATCCACTGTATCTACGTGGAATGCCCAAACCTTTCAGTCACTTTATACTATGGTCTTCATTTTATCAGTAACTATTGTTTTCACAGCCAGTGAGTTCAAGGCCAGCCTGGACTACATAGTGAGATCCCATCTCAAAAATCCCCCCCCAAAAAACCTGAACCCCCAACCCAAAATAATAGCAAAAAACTACCAGCTGAGAGGTGTCTTTCCAACTATCGCAGATGTTGAAAGTGAGGGAGTTTGAGTTATTGTGCTCCATTTACCTTCGATGTCTCTGCTGTGATGAGAAGTCTGAGTCAGGTCTGGAAGCACAGAACGTTCCTGTGAGCTTGCTGCGGTACTCACAGGGTGGCTTTGAGCTTGGCATGTTCTTTCTCCTTGGACACCTGCTCTTTGATAAAAGAAGCTAAATCTTTGCTACACAAAAAGAGACCTAATTTCCATTAAATATCCAATGTATTTTCCAAACTTGTTTCAGAATGGTTAATATCTGTTCCACAGTTCTAGGAAATGTTCTTGTGGTTTAAAAGGTGTTTTTCATGAGATGGTATGGGAAGTTATGATTTAAAAATATTTGACTCTTAAAGTTTTTTCAAGTATTACATTGTGTTCCACACATTTTTTGAATGATGAGCAGTTCACCAGTGAGCTTTCAGCCGTGAGCACATTTGTCGGGCAGCGTGTTCCAGAGCACAGGACGGAGGAGCCGCTCGGAGTCCTGGGCTGTGTGCCTGGGCACCCCTCGGACTGCAGGAGTCAGTCTTCCTGCTGGGCTTGGTCCCATCTGCAGCCGCGAATGGAGGGTGTTTCTACACAAATCCGCGCTCCGGGTTCCTGTCCCTCCCTCAGATCTTTTGCTTCTCTGGGTTAAGGTCTCTCTCCCTTCATTGCCTCTGCCGCATTCTAAACTGACAATAGACGCCTTGCATTTGTATCTTTAGCCAGGAGCTAACATTAGACTGCATTCCTCTCAGGCCTTCCAGGCCCCTGAGAGCATCCCGATGGGGGCGGGGAAGCTGGCCTGCTTCCAAGCCTTTCCTTTCCTCGCTTTGCCCCTTGCTGAGCTGCAGAAGATGGAAACCAAGGTGGGCTCTGGCCCTTTCCGACCTGTGGTCCTGAGAGAGCATTGAGACCAGGTGGCACGGGGCTGGGGTGTGGCTCGGCAGCAGAGCGCTGCTCCGCACGTGAGGCCCCAAGTTTGGCCCGGCTCCAAGGAGGAGATCGCCGTGGTGCAGGCCTGGTGTCGGCCGCTTTGCCTGCAGTTCTGCCTCGGGCGTCTGCGGCCTGGCAGCTCTGGTTAGAGCAGAGACAGCTGCTGTGGCCCCTTCTGTTTCCCTGTCCTCTCCCAGAAGCGCTCCATTGGCCTCAGTTAGACCCATTAGAAGTCTTGCCCACTGCACCAGCCAGAAACTTTCCCTTTCCCGGGAGGGATTTCAAGAGACGCCAGGCAGGTGGCAGGTGCATCAGGTGCCTTGGTGCAGTGGTCCCTCACAGGAGTCACCCTGCTCTGGGCCTCCCCTTCCCGGCATCTGCTCTGCTGCCCTCTGGATCTGTGGCTGGAAGCCAGACCCACGCGGGCCCTGTGTGCGGGGTGGCCAGGGCTGTTGTGCAGCAGGCCTGGAGCCAGGTGTGGCCCAGGCAAGGACAGCACAGTCGGCTCTGGGAGCCGGGGCGTCTGCTGCCACCCAGCCCAGGGTCTTGTCACGGACGCTCCTGGGAAGGGCTGTGAGGGGCCAGAGAGACCCTGACCAGGACGGGTCGTCAGCCGCTGCGATCAGCAGACCTTGGAGTTCAAGATCAGCGCATTGGAGCGATTCTAGCAGTGTCACGTGGCTGGTGAGATGGGGGCGTGAGCTTGCACCAGAGCCAGGGGGCCAGGCTTCCCGGCACCAGGACAGGAAGGACCCTGAAAGCCGAAGCCTGCAGCCCGTCACCACCGCAGAGCGAGCTTGCCCTGAGTCGGTGCTGAGGACACAAGAACGTGCCCGCCAGTTGCACTCCCTGAGCAGCCCCGAGTGGCCTCCTCTGAGGGTTGGTGGTGGTGGGGACACTGCATCCCGGGGGGGGTGCCCTTTCTCTCACTGGCCACAACCCCTGGGGACAGAGGCCGCAGCCGGAGCTCAGTGCACACTTGTTCCTGCACAGAAGGAGAGGCTGCTGAGCCACGAGTCCTGGGCCAGCCCCCGCTCGCACCTGGCAGCCCTCTGATGCTAGCTCTCTGTCCTTCTCTGGATCAGTTTCCATTCGGTTCCATTTTTTCCATCTTTTATTAGTGCGGTTTGCAGTACATCATGATCACATCCTTGTGGGGAGTTGGTACACATACAGAACACATTTAATTCTTTTTACATCCCCTTCCCCTTTCCTACCTGCCCCTGTTCAATTTTTTATTATGGTAAATACATAACATACAATAACATACAATTTCTGTACATTTCTAAAGGAGGCAGACTCGGTCAGTGGGGCAGGAACGTAACTTGGGTCATCACAGTGAAAGGCATGGCCCCGATCTTGGGTACCATGTGCTGGGTTCTCTCTCCCTCGCAGGCTGCAGCCCCTGGCTCCAGGATAGCAAGGTTGGAGAGGACCCGCAGAGCCCCATCCTGGGCATCGGGCAGAGGAGGTGGAGGGAGCTTAGCTTTTCCTTGCTAATGCTGGGTGACTGGTTTGTGGCACTCAGCACCTCGCTGCTGTGCCTGTGTTCTGTTCTCTTGGTATAAACTGTGTTCTCAAGGCCCCTCCTCGATTAGGTTAGACTGAGGGGTGCTCTTGTTCCTGGTCCCTTCCTCCATTTCCTGTCTCACCCTGAGCGTCTCTGCCTGCCGGAGTTGGGGTCCTGGCTCCCGGCCTGTGTCCCCTCCCCTTGCTGAGGTGGGAGGTTTGTCCTCTCCTTTCCCCTGGGATGAGGTCACTGTGAGCTGCCTAGAGGTCTGGGACCAATTAACTCCCCACGTGCGACACCACCCTCTGTGGAGCGTCCTGGCTTCTTGCTGGGCCCTCCGCTGGGACATGGCCTCGTTTCCGCTCTGCCTTCCCAGCCTGGCTAACTCAGTCTGTGGGTCTTCTCTCCTGGGGAAGATGTGGGCAGCGAAGTCTCCTCATTCTGAGTCCTGGTGGAAGCCAGTGCTGCCCCCCAGCCCCTGGGACCCCTGTTCTCCCCCTCAGCAGCTGGGGACCGCGAGGCTCTGCCTTCTGCTGTCCCCTCTGCTCTTGTCACTGGTTTGGGGGACAGGCTTTGCAGTCCCAGCTGGGAGCCACACAGCGGTTGCTGCCTTCCCCCTGGAGCTGAGGAGGCCATAAAGGAAACCTGTGACCCGAGTTCAGCAAGCCCCTGAGAGGCCCATGGCGGGGCCGGTGCCTGAGCGTGTTCTGTCCCCAGCACGGTGCTCCCAGCCTGACCCCATGGATCCTCAGCGCCGAAGACAGACTGCAGAGTCAGGGGAAATGCACTTCTCTATCGCACACAGCGTGGGCCCACAGTTTAGGAGGCAGGCTTTGGGGTCCCACAGCTTGGGTCTGAATTCTAGCTTTATTAGTTCAGTAACCTTGATCACGCTATCACCCTATCCAGGCCTCCACTTTTCATCTTTAAAATAAGGCCGGTACCTGTCCTACAGGATTAAAAGCAGCGACGGCTTTAGCAAAGTGCTGCTCAAAGCTTTTGCAGGGGGATCTTGCTGACCCCCTCTGGAGTCGTCTCTGCCATCTGCATCTCTTCCCCCGAAAAGCTGAGTGGTGGCCCAGGATGTGGATGGTAGCTTTGGTGTCGCATGGGTGGGGTTTGAATGTCAGCTCTGCTGCTGGGCCTCGCTTGTTTGTTAATTCCAGGACTCCTCGTGCCCATTTCCTTGGTCTGAGCTCTCTGATCTGCTGCGTGCAATGGCAGACACCGTTGCTGAGGTCCTGGTCTCCAGTTTCAGATGAAGAATAACAGTTTGTGGAAGGAGCAGAGGGAGGGACAGCCTCCCCCATGGGCGTACATCCAAAGGGAGATTCTGTAACTTATCTGAAGGGATAGAAGGATGGACATCTTAGAAGGCATTATAAACGACATTTTTAGAGACACTGTACTATACCTGAAGCTTAATTCTGTTATCCATTAAATAGGACAGCTACACTATCATTGCTTGCCAGCTAAGGGTGAAAGGTTGTTGATTAATTTTATACCAGGTGACACACATTGGGTTTCATAGGCTATTGAATAATGAATAGAATAGGGTTAAAATAAATTATTATTTTCTTGTATTTGGGAAAGTTAAAATATATTTTTCAGTAGAATTAGACAAAATGGGAAAGAATTAAAATAAACAAATACATAGATGGGTGTGAAAAGAATTAGCTGTGGAAGAATACATGAGACATTGTATGTGTCCAAGTCTACCAGTTAAACTTAGCTTGGAAAACTACTTCATCACAGCCTTAGTTACTCAGGACCAAAGAAAACACTCCTAATCATGAACAAGTTTGTCACTGTCGTTTTCCCATTATCTGTAGTAAAGGTCTATAAATCCATTTTCATTAAAAGCAGAAAGCAGCACCTTGTCGTGCCCATCAATAAGCCTGACACCAGTCGGATGCAGTATGACTTAGACACTTTTGAGTTAACAGTTTCACTTCAACAAGAGGTACATGAAGTTGATCATCATCTGGCAAATACAGGTTCTGTGCTCAGGGTGGGTGAATTGGATCCCAAGGTGGAGTGTGCACCGGCTGGGTCGTGCTGTGTTGATGGCCAGTGGCACCAGGTGACCCCCAGGTCTGTGCCCCCTTCTCTGTGGGCGTGGCGCTTGCTAGGTGTTGCAGCCTTAGACTCACTGGACAGCTGCATGTGCGGCGCTCCCAGCTTTTAACTGGAAACCACAGCCGTTTGGAATCAAAAGGTCTAATGTGCCCTGTCCACTTTCCGCTCGATGGAAACCCTTAAAATTGCACGTTGAGCTCAGCTCTGAACCTCTGAACCTTGGTTTGTTTGTTTTTACTTTCAGAAAAGTAACACGCATGCTAATTAGGGCTCTGAGAAACATTTTCCAGTCCTCTTAGAAATTGCCAAGGAATTTCCACATGCAGGGGAAGAGGCTGTGGGGTTTTAAATCAGGGAATCCTTCCAGAGCATGCTTGGAGACATATCCCCTTCTTTGTGATAAGATGTGTATTAAATAGCTCATGGTTTTAGACAAAAGGAAATCAAATTGACATTACTGTTTATGCACTTAAGAAATCTTTCTCTACCCATAGTTGTGTCACTAAACTGGTACAAAAGACCCCAAATCCCAGCGTGTGAGGACTCTGAGGAGCCTTAGGGTCATCTGGTTGACCCCCGTACTTTACACATGAGGCATATGCAGCCTGCTGCCCACAGCCGGGTATCCATGGAGCACCTGGCACAGCCCAGGATAACCCCAGCTTCCTGGTGCCTGACGTATGTGCCCTTTCGAGTCTCGGCTGCCCTCAGCTTTTCCTTTGGTTCAGCAGTGGGTCTTTTTGGGCATTTTCTGGATTGGCACATTTTGGTGAGCTGGAACACTCGAAGTAGAAACACTCGAAATAGACAGCTTTGTCCCACTGATCCCTCTTTTTTCTCATAACCAAAAGGAGGGCTCTGTCCTTGTCACCAAGTGGCTCATCACAAATGTTTTTGATCTTTTAGGACAGAAGACTCTATAACGGAAGATGACAAGAGGAGGTATGTTTGGTATCGCCCCAGGGTTACTTGGAGTAACGGGCTGTACCTTTGGATTTCCCACTGTAGCACATTGCCAGTAATGCAGGCTCCACAGGGAGGACTTTCAGCCCAGAGAACACAGTGGGAGGCCGAGGTCTAGAACTCGCCGGGACCCACAACCTGTGCTTCCCTCAGCTGAGCGTGGGCTCTGTCCTGGGCGTGGTGCTGTGCTGACCTCTGTGTTCTGAGGCTCTGGGGTCGGTGTTCTTCCAAGGAATGGGCCCTCTTCTCCCAGCCCCTCTGGGCTCCTCCTCCCCAGTCAGCTGCACGCCCATGACCCTAGCTCTCTCATTTCATCTCCTCTGTCTCCCTACAAGAGAAATGTTTGTATATATCCGCAACACCTAATGGCACGGTGACCACTCGGGATTCTTGATAAATGTTACTGATTTCCCATGACCAATTACTCTACCCATATTTATCACTGTACTAACTTACAATGTCCCAACTTCTTTGCTTCTTTCTCATTGCAAGCAAAATATCTAAAAAAGCCTATGAATCCAGTACAGCTCTCTTTTTTTCTAGTTTTTTTTAATTCATATCCCCTAAGCCGGGCATGGTGGCGCACTCCTGTCATCCCAGCCCTCGGGAGGCTGAGGCAGGAGGATCACAGTGAGTTCAAGGCCAGGCTGGGCTACACAGTGCGTTCTCCAGTCTGAACTATATAGTGAGACCCTGTCTCAACAAAACAAAACAAAACTACATGTCCAGGGATGAAAGTTTTCTGAGTTCAACTTTGAAAGATCATGTGTTGTGTTAATATTTATTGTTTATTACTTGTTTGAAATGCTCCATACCTGTCTCTCTCCATGCCATTTAAATTGGTCTGATTTGTCTCATAGAAACTATGGAGGAGTGTATGTTGGCCTACCCGCTGAAGCTGTTGACATGGTGTCCAGTCAAACAAAGACTGTACGAAAAAGTAAGAAAGATTATGGGATGTTTATTCTCTCCAGATACTTATATGTTTTATGAAAAATATGAAATTTAAATATCCACTTGCCTGACTCAACGACATTGTTGCAGTAAGCCAGGATAAATATTCTGTGGTACACATTTCTTGAAATTGCCACTCATGTCTTAAGAGTAATTCCAGAGCAAATTTAGCTTTTATTTGTAGTCATGCTCCATGGAGATTTTTAATTTTTTTCTTAAAAAGCTAGCCTTTAAGTTCATGGAGGTTTTGTAGCACACAAAGGTAAATTTCTGTAATGTCTTTTTTGTTTTTTGAGACAGAGTCTTACTATATAGTCCAGGCTGCCCTTGAACTCACAGCGATCCTCCTGTCTTAGCTTCCCAAGTGCTGGAATTATAAGTGTGCACCACCACACCTGACATTTCTATAATGTCTTATAAAGATGACTGATAAGCAAGCTGGTGATTAAAGGAACAGTAACTGCCTCCTGTAGAATGAATGAGGTGGGGTTCCCTTTCCTGAGTTTTAAGTTAGTAACTCTGGGTGAATAAAGAGTTTCTGAATAGAGGCCTGACTAAACCATGTAGGCGGGTCTTGCTTACATGCATTTTAAAGTGAGGCTCATGGTAAGACCATGAATCTGCTAAGCACTCTACCGATTTACTATGGGACGTGTGGTTTTAATGTGTACTTTGCACACAGGCTGCAGTATGCTATTTTAACACAATACAGTTACTTGTTCCTCATTCCTATTACCTTATGGCCTAGACTAGCAAGTGCATATATGTTAGTACTATTTGTAGTTTTGTGGGAAATTAGAATATGTTCTTTACAGTCTGAACATTTAACTTTTCTTTAATTTCTCTTGAAGATTAGAGGAAACTAGCACCATGACCCAATAAACAAGAGGTATTGTATATCTTTCTAAATAATTTTATATATTTAGCCTTGATGATGAATAAACTGCAGATATTATTGCTATATATTTTTAAGAAATCTTTTTTAGGGCTGGGGATTTAGCTCAGTGGTTTCGCCACCTGCTGCACAAGCACAAGGACCCGAGTTCGATCCCTGGTACAAAACAAAACAACAAAAAAAGAAATCTTTTTTATTACCATTAGGCTTGCATTATTTTTCATCAGTCCACATTTGTGGTACATGATGATCATGTTCATCGCAGGCAGCTGGTGCAAGTCTGTAACACACCTTCACTCTTTTTGTCCCCTGATAGAGGCACGGGTCTCGTCCCATGGATTCGAGTAGGGTTTTACTATAAAGAGGTTAATGTTCAGGTCAACTGTCTTTGCAGCCACTTCTTTTTCATTTTGTTTCCAATCCAATTTAATTTGTTTAATAAGAGCAAGCTGTGTGTCTGCTGCAAACACCGTTATAGGAGTGTCTCGCTTTTCTTGCAAAAAGGCCAAGGGCTTGAGCCGCGGCACTGGGGAGAGGTGGTGGTGAAGCAGCACAGAGGCAGGGCCTTCCCAGAGCTCCCACGGAGCTGGGCAGTCGTCCCTGGGAAGATGCAGCCATGCAGGACCGGAGTCGCAGTGCGCTTGGACCTCAGCTGCATTTCAGTCCTGCCGACACCCAGCCTCTGCAAAACTCCGCTTTCCTGGACGTCTTGTTTCTTGGGGTGGCCTGCTTTGGAGGTCGGTGGCCTTGATTTGAATGAAGGCTCTTTCACCTACTGGCTGGGTGATTCCTCCCCTTTGTGGGCCCGGCTTTGTAATCCACACAGTGAATCCAGTGCTCAGGTCTAAGGGTTGTTTGGGTTGATAGGAAATAAATGTTAGCTTTGGCTTCATGGTCAGCATCACCATCATCACCACCACACCATCATCTTTTTTTTCTTTTTTGTAATCAGAACCCAGAACCAACAGGCCAGAAATGAGACTGTTTGCTGATGAAACAGTTTCTTACCCAGGCCCAGTGCTAGAGCTGGGGTTGGCTGGGTGGGGTTGCAGAGTAAGCTCACAGGTGGAGATGAGTGTGCGTTCCTGCTGGAGGAAGGGGACATGGAAGCCGAGACTCACCACAGTCCCTGAGTGGCCACTTCGCCCACAACTTTCTGCTGGAGGCCGCAGGTCAGCCCTGCTCTGCAGAACCACAGGGTGTGGCACTAACCCTGGGGAGCTGGCTGGAGGTTTTCTGTCTCTAGTATTTTAATAAAGCTCTCACCCTCCTTATAGATTTCTGAATGCAGTTTTCCCTATGCAGGAGGAATTTGATTATTTGCAATAGATGGAAAGGTAATCTAGTTGAAAACCAGCGTGCATTGCCACTTCCTGTCCTGGAGAACGGGCACATTTCTAAAAGCGTGGTGTGGGAAGTGGTACCATGGACAGGTATCAGGAGCCTGGAGGATCTGTGGCGATGCAGAGCCCAGGGAGACTTCTCTCAGCCTCTGCTGTCCACTTCTGAAGTCCCATGATAAGAGCTTGGCAATGTCGCTGGTGAGCCAGGCCCTGTGGCCTTAGGTAGCTTGTTGTGACTGCTCTTGGCTAGTGACATGTCATTTGATTGCCACTCCTCTCTCTTCTCAGTTTTCTTCTGTCCTTGACTGTTCCTAAATAATCAGTTTGCTCCCAGTCTCTCTTGCCACCTTTGAATCGCCTGAAAGGCCTTCTCAGTGGAGCAGCTGCCCATTTTCCTTCGTGGCTGTGTCCACTGAATCACTTACGGTGACGTGTCTATACTTATGGGTCTCTGGGCTGAGTTACTGGGCAGATACCCTGGTGAGATCACTATAGTTTGGAGAAGACTTTAAAAAAAATTTTCTGGTGGCACAGGGTATTGAACCAAGGGTCTTTGCCTTCTAGCCTTTTTAAAATTTAAAAAAAGAATTTGAGACAGAGTCTTACTAAGTTGCTATGTTGCCCAGCCTGGGCTCAAGCTTGTGATTCTCCTGTCTCAGCCTCTAAGAGTCCTAGAATTACAGGCGTGCAGCACCAGCCCTGGCTGGAAAAGAAGACTCTTTATGGAAAGGATTAGACTTTTTATTTTTTAATGTTTTTTACCAACCTGTAGAGTCTGTGAACTGAACTCTCCCACAGACCTAGGTTCAGATTTGATTTGGTGACTTGGGATGACTTCCCAGTCTAAACTACTGACATCATGATGCAGTGTGTCCCTACAGCAGAGGTGTCTCGAGTCCCAGAGTGGCTCCACCTACCCCCGGTCTTGACTGCGGGGAAGGGACTGGTGATGTGGGCGTGCGCGTGGCCAGCTCTGAGCACTGCGCGTCGAGCCGTTTTTAAATTGAGTTTATAAGTCTCTCTCCACCCGGCTTTATCTCTTTATATCAATACCAGCCGAGCTCAGCACCATGCTGGCCACATAATAAATCTTAAATAAATATTGGGCAGATGGTGAATATGTGCTTCACTTAAAATAGCGAATCGTGTAGGCTTGAGTTGATGCGTTTTTATTGAGGTTGTACCTTGTCACGATGCTGATGCCCTCCTCCCTTCTGATTTCCCTTCATAGTTTGCTCATCGAATCAGAAGGACTCTGGCTCCAGCGGCACTGTAACGCGCACAGACATTTCCGAGGCAGTTCAAACAGCTGTCCCCCCACCTGCGCCCCAGTCCTAAGGCCTCGGTGAGCCACGGCGCAGGTTCTTTGTGTTGTAACGGAAGGAAGTTTGCTGGCGATGCGCCGATTCTGACGGAATGTGTCGTCCCCCGGAAGGAGGAGCGACGTCCGGTCCGCTCTGTCGGGTCCGCTCCGCCCGGTCCGCTCCGCCCGCCCGCCCGCAGCCCGGCCTCGGCGCTCACGGCCATTCACCCGAGCTCATGGTGTTGTCTTTGGCCGGATACTCTTTTGATAGTTTTTATATAACAAAGTCCTTACTCTGTGTATAACCTAAGATAATAAGGACACTCTAAATGAATTACCTGCAGTAATATATCTGCCTTTTATCTTTCACCATTTCTACATTAATTTTTAGCTGTAAAATTGGTAGCTGGATTCTTACTCCCCCTCCCCCTTTTTTTTTACTGTTTGTTTTTCAAATTTTATTTAAATGTCAGAGAATTTCCACTATTAGGAATGATGTATCATGTTGCAATATTTACACGTAAACCTGTTAAATTTGCAGTTTGTGTGCTCTAAACACATGTTGATGAAATCCCTGTTTTGTTTGGCCAAAGGCTTATGTAGCTGCAAATATCCCATAGCTGGTGAGTCGTTCATTCTCCCTTGTGTAGTCCTGGTATCTCTTCATGTTAACTCTGTACTATTTTCAAGGTCTTAAGGTAGATGGGGTTCGTGGGATATCTGGAAAGTTCTCAGTTTGCTGATGACATGTATATCTGTTTACCATTGCAATGAAAATTACTCAGTTTACCAATATATTTCAACATTTAAACATTTTTATCCTCCTTTCCTGGATTTCTGAATTATTTTCTAAAAAACACTTTCATAGAAGTCATACATGGCACTGTGATCTATAGACACTATATCAATATATAAAGATAATCATAAATATCTTGCCAGGAGAAAGGCATTGCCTTATATATTTTGGTTGATATAATAACCACAAGAAGATCAAATTAGTGAAAGAAAGATAAAAATGACTAGGGAATTATGATACAGGTACCCCTACCTCATATCCACAAGTCCATAATGCCATTTAGGTGGAACACCAGCAGTTTATCTCAGAGATACCAAGTAGATTGAGTTTTTGGAAAACTTTCAATTTTGAATTTTAGGTTGATGGAAGCATGTAAGGATTGTATGGAGAGTTCCTATATGTCTGAAGCCAGCTTTCGCTAATATTAATCTTGCTAACCACAGCACATTTGTCAAAACTAAGCAATTAAACATAGACGCAATACTGTAAACTCAGCCTTTAGTTAACACTCCATTTGCCTGTCCATTAATGTCCTTCTTTAGGGGTCTGGAATTGAATCCAAGATGACATTGCAGTCTGTTAAGCTTTGTTCATTTGTCTCCTTCCTTGACATTTTCTTAGTCTTTTTTGCTTCCTTTTGACTTTAATGCTTTTGAAGTCTGCTGGTTGGATATTTTGAAGAATGTCCCTCCATTTGAATTTGTTTTCTTATGATTGGACTGGGGTTTTAGGTTTTGGGAAGAGAACCACAGAGATGAAATCCCCCCCCACACACACACATTACATACCTGTGATCCTATTGTGTCTCTTTACCAGCGACATTAACCTCAGTCACTTAGGTGACTTCTATCAGCTTTCTCCATTATGAAATTCGTAGTTTTCCTTTTCTAAAAACCCAGTTAAAAAGTTAAAACACATTCCTAAAACATCATCCAATTTCATTATAAATGAGGTGTCTTCCATATTATGGCAAGTCTTAACATTTACTTTCATCTAGATATCATTTATATTTAGACCTCTGTGGTTCCCACATGTTAATAATGCTTCCCACTCACATGTCTTCAGGCAGTTGATTATTCTCATTAAGCATTGCAAGACTCTTGAGTGAACAGCTTAGAGAATAAACTACTAACATAATGATCTTTCATTCAAAAGAAAAGAGAGATGGGTAAAGCCTCTGGAATTCCAGATTTAAACCTTTCCAGTATATTTCTTTGCAAGATTATTTAAAAAATATAACAGATACGAGTTTCAGAAAACTTCTGGTCAGTAAGACTGTCTTAAGAAACCTCGTAAGCCAATAGGCATTTAGATTGAATTACAAAGATTGCTAAAATTTAGTTGGGGAGAAATTGCTTGAAACTCTGGAATGTAGAAATCTGGTCCTGAGAAATCCAGCCAGGCCCTGGCCCTGGGGGTGTTCCTGAAGAACGCTGGCCTGACGAACTAAGCTTTCAAAAGCAATGAGACCAGGCTTGGGAGAGACGAGTGAAGACAGAAGATGCTAAGCACAATGAGGGCCTTTCTGGTTTGTGAGTTTTCACACCGTCCTGCACACACCCGATCTCGGCTGGGTTGCTGAGTTGAGAGGGTATACAAGCGCAGTCTTACAAATGGGAGCTGTGAGTGGCAGTATTGTACCCATGCCCATTCTGAAGAACTTCAGGAGTGAAAACATTCCGTGAGGAGCTCACTCCCGGGGAGAAGTTTAGTTTGTGTTTGTTCACTACTGCGCCTGAGAGGTCGAGCAGTGCAACACAAGGACACGCTTTCCCACAGTTGGTGCACCCGGAATTCCCTGCTCTGATTCTGTTCTTTCACTGGCCATCGCCGGTTGGGTTCGGGTGGGGACTGGGGGCTGGGGCACAGCTGGAAGACCCACTCTGCTCTTAGAAGTGTGGGGGAGCCTGCAGGAGTGTTAGTGTGGGAGCGCAGAGCAGGGACCTGAAGGTCGGAAGGGCGGGCGAGGAGCTCCCGAGGGCCAGCCATGGGCGGGAGCAGAAAGCAGCGTCCAGCAGCGTGCTAGTGAGCTTTGCTGTCACCAGCACAGCAAAACTGCCTGGCGGCCACTGCTTCAAAGCAGGGAGGTTGCTCGTGGCTCACAGTCTCAACTCCAGTGGCAGAGGGGCACAGTGGAGGAAAACTGCTGAGCGCTTGGCAGCGAGGAGACAGAAAGGCAGGCTGGGACAAGGACACACCCTTCCAGGCCACAGCCGGGGACCACCTCCAAATGGCACGTTCTGTTCCCGGACTCCTCCGCGGAGAATGAGTGCAGCGCCCCACGATCCCCCTGTCCCACACGTGAGGCTTGGGGGGCGGGACATCATAGGTCTAAAGTGGACCACGCAGAGGACTGCAGGGGCAGAGGCCCAGAGCCCCGAGGGTCTTGGGGTGCCTAGCACCTGTGGGAGCTGAGCCGGGCTGGGGGAGGGGATGGTGGTAGGTGGGGGTGGGGGAAGTGAGCCCCAGGGGCTCCTGAGATCTGGGGAGCTGGGAGCGTTTCCCCATCAGGGCCGGGTCCCTTACCTCGGGCTGCTGCAGGTTTGCACTTACATTTTCCCAGCAGCTGTTTGGTGGGTCTGTCCTGGGAGGCGTGGCTCCGGGTGTTCTGGCTTCCTCGTTTCACCTGTAATACAAAACGTGGAGTTTTCAGGTGCGGAGAGACGTAGCGGGCAATGAACATCCCGCAACATCCCATCAGGGCAGCGCCACGCCCATCTCCGCACCGAGTGTAACCAGGGCTTAGGAACTAGGCCCTTGTGTGGCTTCACCCGTTTCTCCTGGTTATTTTTTTCTATAAAACCATTACAATGGAGTACTACTTTGCCATAAAGAAAGGTAAGCCTGAGTCATTTGCAGAAAAATGGGTGCAGCTCGAGATCATAATCTTAAGTGAAATAAATCAGACACACAAGCTTAAATATCGTATTGTTTCTCTTGTGTGAGAAACCCAAAGGGTAAATGAGGAGCAGAATGGGGGACAGATGTTGGGAAGTAGGAAGAACCTGTCCAAATGGGAAGGGGAACAAAGCAGGGTGGAGGGGACGGGAAAGAAGGGGAAAAGGATTAAAAAAGAAGAAGGAAAAAAATGGAAACAAAGCTTTTGTAAGTGACAAGGAGGAGGGTGGAAGGGAGAGGAGAAATTGGAAAAAGGAATTTAGATACCGTATGTACAGGTACAAATTCCTTATGATGAATGTGATCATTATGTATGACAAATATGTACTAATAAAAAGAATAAAGTTAAAAAAAAACCCAAACAACAAACCATTCCATTAAACGAAGACACTTCTTTCTCCATCAGTGGCGTCTATAACACAGACCTAAGTTAGCGCTGGAGTATACCAGCTGTGATCGAGAACTATGGTGGATGTTTCGATTTTTAAAAATTATTACAACAAAGACACATTGCCTTGCATCCCCCTCAAAATGCGCCCCCTGCTTTGAACACATTTATCCCGTCATTCTTGCCACTTTCTGCAGCAGCACCGGAAGCCCTATCTCACGAGTGTCTTCAGTTGCACTGTGGTGGCTGCCTCGATGTCCTGAATTGATTTGAAACGTTTCCCTTTCTTGGTCCTTTTGACTTTGGGGCAGACCCAGGAGTTGCACAGTGGCAGATCCAGTGAGTAAGGTGGATGAGGACACAGCGTCATGTTCTTATGAGCTGCCCTTCCGTTGGCCGGTGCTCAGCAGCAGCATTTGCAATATTTTATGACACCTCATAAAGACACTCAGGAAAGAGGACTCCAGAACTGCTTCGGAAAGTGGCAAGAAAGATGGTATAAGGGTGTTTGAAGCAAGGATGAGGACTTTGAGGGGATTCATGGTAATGTGTCTTCTAGTGTAATAAATTTTCCAAATGTAACTGTTCACTGTATACTTTGGCGTCCCTTGCATATTCTGCTCTTTGTCTCCATACTTGATGTACAGCACCGCAGAGTCCTGCTGTGACAGTGAGATAATGCCACCCCTTCCCTGAGAGAGAAGCCTTCCGGGCCACAGTGGCATCTTCTTTTGTTATGTGGAAGCATCTTTGGGCAATTGCTAGGGATGTCAGTAAGTCATTTGGCTTTCTGTACCTTGAGAATTTTCAGTCTCGGATAGATGTACTTCTAATTAATAATGAACACTAAGAATGGTAGCAGAATTCATCCACACATGATTAATTCATCCAACAATTATTTTCCAAGCATCAGTCCCGTGCCTGGCATTGTTTAGGGTGTGCATAACGGGGTAGTGAACAAAGCCAGCCCTGTCTGACATCGTGGCGGAGAGACACTACATGGTATCAGCCGTTGTCACTGTCGCCCGGGTAAGAGGGGACGAGAGCCAGCCGGGAAGGTGGCATTTAGTGTTAAACAGGATGACCAGGGAGTCACTCACTGAACAGATGACACTTGAGGGCAGAGCCCGGTGGAGAAGCAGCCCCTGTCATGGGACCCAGCGGAGGAGCTCTGTGAAGAGGAAGGACCAGGGAAATGTACTCACGGGAGCTGTGCAGAGCTCAGGTGGTCGGCAAAGGCCGCAGGTGGAGGTGATGGGAGAGGTTGGCGGGCTGCTGTGGGGGGGCACCGTGGCAGAGGAGGGGAGCGGGTCTTTGTGGATCCTGGGTTTTCACGGTGAGCTGGGAGGCCCTTCTGTGGTTTGGGGCAGGAGAGGTGAGGCGGTGGCCAGAGATTCATTTGAGCCCAAGCATCAAGACCAGCCTGAGCAACACAGCGAGACTCCTGTCTCAAAAGCCAATTCGAAAAGGGGGGAAAGGGTCCAGGTTCTGGGTACTTCTGAAGATGGTGTGGACAGAGTGTGCTGATGCATCTGTTGTGGGGTGCGAGAGGGAGGATGGAAAGGGACACTCGGAGGACATCGGGGTGGAGTTGCCATTTGCTGGCCAGGGAGGACCACGGGGAGCGGGTCTGGGGGAAATTGGGCACCTTGGACACCGAGTTCAAGCAGCAGAGTCCGAGGTGAGGACACAGCCTTGGAGCGCACAGAGGGCTGCATGTGAGGTGGGCAGGTGG